ACTTACAAAGTTGTCCGTGGCCAAATGAGTACTTGCAATTGAGGTACCAATACAAAATTTTTACTGTAGATAGTACCAGCGTCGTTCTCTCTACCCTGCAATTTTTAGCTTGCAATTCAAAGTATAAGTGCCTCATTTGGCCATGGACAACTTTGTAAGTACCCAATCGGCCAGGTGATGTAAGACCACGGAGTTCCGTTTGCATCTCTCGAAGCTAATTCTTTCACATTCGGATAGAGCACGTCGAATTACATATAGACAAAGTATTTCCAGCCCTCCAAAACACAAAAATAGCGCTAACTAACCACTCTGACCAGCAACTTGTTCAGTTTCTCGTGGATGGCTTCGTGTCTGGCTTTGATATTGGTTTATCTGAACTGCCTTCAACGTCTTTCCAGTGTAAAAATAATCGTTCAGCTCGTGATGCACCAAAGGTAGTTGAAGATTTGATAAATAAGGCTTTGAAGCAGGGTTATATGATTGGCCCGTTTGTTGAGCCACCGTTTGATACCTATCGTATATCACCAATAGGCGTGGCTTACGGTAAGTATAACCGTAAGCCGCGTCTAATCGTAGACCTTAGTGCACCCTATAATAATCCATCACATCCGAGTATTAATTCATTGATTGACAAAGAGGAATTTTCACTGTCATACGTTAGGTGCGATGATGCTTTGCAAATTGTGAATAGTCTCGGGATTAATACATCGATGGTTAAAACTGATATAGTTGACGCATTCAAAATCATACCTGTTAAACCGGAATTGTAGCGGTACCTCGGTATATGTTAGAGTGGGTTTTACTATTTCTATACACGTTTGGTCTTTGAATCTCGTTCAAGTCCGAAGATTTTTGACTTGTGTTTCTCAATAATTTGTTGGATTGCAAAAGAAAATTATGATATTCGATTTATTTTGCATCTGTTAGATGATTTCATAGCGTTTCATCCTCCAGATGAAGCTGATCCCAATATGGTTTCGATGAAACTGATGTTCAAAAGATTAAATGTACCATTATCGCCTTTGAAAACTGTTGGTCCTACATTCGTTTTAGAACATCTAGGCATTATTATTGACAGTCAGTTGATGTTAGTTAGTCTACCCGAAGATAAACGGGTTAGAGTTTTGGAGATCGTTTACACTTACTTAAACTAGAAACGTTGTACTAAACGAGAATTATTGAGTATCATTGGCTATCTTGAACATGCTCACGGGTTATTCCAGGTGGAAGTTTCGTATCATGTCTGATTGCTTTATCATGCACAGTTGGTCCGTTACATTATTCCGTACCACTTTCAAAAGCCTGCCGCCTTGATCTCTTAATGTGGTTTTATTTCTTGCGATCTTGGAATGGTACGTCTACCTTTTATGATCCAAAAATTGTTAATTCCTGTGAGATAGAATTAGTCACGGATGCAGTTCCTTCAATCGGCCTTGGCGGCTATTGGAAGCACGAATGGCTTGCCTCACCATGGCCGAATTTTGTTCCTAAAGGCATGTCCACTCCCTACTATGACCTGTTGCCTTTAGTAATCACTGCTTCTTTATGGGATAAAATGTGCTGAGGAAGGAAGATTATGTTTCGTTCGGACAATGAAACTGTCGTAGCAGTCATACAAAATGGCAGATCTAAAGATAGAGCCATCATGTCACCAATGAGACGTTTTACTCTTTATGCACGTGAATATCGTTTTGTACCCTACACACAACATATACCGGGACTTGAAAATGAAGCTGCTGACTGTTTACCTCGTTTGAAGTTAGGAAAATTTCGAACTTTAAAACCAGATGCTAGCGCATGTTCTCTTCCAATACCAACACCACAAAACATTTTCTTTCCGTACCAGACGTAATTAATCATCTATTACATAATTAGGCATGCACATATGAAAAAAAACAACTTCTGAGACGCGTGTGTTTATTTGATTTCCTTTTACCCATATAGTCTAGGCTATATGCTGTGATGGTCGTGAAAGTTTGGTGAAACCCTTTTTTGTTTCAACTTTTTCG